TTCATTTTAAGATAGAAAATTTAATAGATAGATTAGGTGACCAATATATTTATTCAGTAATCTGAATGAAATCTGACTTGTTCAAAGATATTGGGCAAGGATTGTATATAGATTCAATGGATGTGTAGTACTGGCAGATGTCCACTAAAACAAGAAATCAGCGTTACTATTTTTGATGGATTAGAGTTTGAAACAAGCGAAGAGTTATAGAAATACAATTACTTCATGTTGGGGGGATGCATGAATCACATTTACGTTTCTTTTCATGTACTTATTGAGAATGACAGTTGAAGGTAGATTTATATTGTGTGTGCATTTATATGGCAAATTCCAACCAAGACATCACTCACTCTTGCATTTTCTAGCTCATTGTTTGTCATTTGATCATATTAATCAAGTAATCAATAGTAATTAGCAATTGATCATTGCAGTGCTACAAGCCCAAAGAAGAATGTAAATTACAATATAATAGGTGACTCTAAAGTTCGAACCCAATAACTCAATGAAGGAAATAAATATTTTTAACCGTTAAACCAATCTTTTGGGGTTTAGAGAAGAGAAGAGATTGCTAATAAGTTTATCCCCCTCTCTCTCCCTCTTTCAACCAATATATTATTGAAGGGACAAACCTATGCAAGTAAATCTCATCAAATATGCATTTATTTCAAATTTCTTAGTCAATTATGATGATTATTACTTATTAGATAGCAAAAGTATATGATTAAATTACTGTACAATGGTAGACATTTTATTTTAAGAGCTTTTTTAAGTATGAATATGATAAATATTAATAAATTAGTCAATCAGTTAATATTAGAGAATATAAATTAATTGAGTTACTTTATGAATATGTCGTAAGTGGTGTGTTAGAATTGAACTTTTATGTCTAGTACAATGAAAAGATGGATTAAATGACGTATTCTTTGTTCTATTATTGGACTTGGGTGTGTATATATACAAAATACGATCTATCAAATCTTAATAATGTGTGCTATATATCTTCGTGTAAACAAGTTAGTTAGAGACGTGTCATACTTGTTATTTCCAAAACCAATAATGAATGAATGAGAAACAAAAATTTCAAATTAATACAGGATCCAACCATCTAGGAATTTAGAAGACAGTTAACAAGCTAATTGAAAGCAATGTCGGTGGATTTTGTTCATTTCGGTCAAATCAAAGCAAATGCATATGCTATGGCCACTCAGTTCAAAGGATCACACGGGTATGAATTTTGTTGTGAAAGATGACCTAAATCATCAACACTTTGCTATAATTTTGTTGGTGGTTCATCAATCCTTTTGCAGATTTGGTCAAGATTATTATATTTCTTGTAGACTAACTTTGCACGCCTATTATAAGACTTCTTGTAGCCAGGGGGCGGACCCAGCCCCTTGGAGGGACTACCCTCACATTTAAAAAAAAAAATTGTTTATATAGACCATAAAAAAATTCTATTCTATTAGTATATGTATATATATATCTAAGTTTATCTTCGAATTTAAAAAAAATGAGAAATATTATATATATATATATATATCCAGACTCATAAAAAACTTACTATTAATATATATATTTTACACCTACATCATATTAAAAGTTTAAAACTCTCTTCACTCTTTTCTACCTCCATCTGTTTTTTATGATTTTATCTCTAAGATTCTTTATTCTCTCTTTTACTTTTTCTATGTTATTCGTTCTTAAAATTTTTAAAGACTAAAATTGTCGAAGCTTTCACTCATCAAGGCGCCACAAGTAGCTTCGTTTTATGTTTTCTCAATTTTAGGTATGTGTATTGCTCATTTAATTTTAGTTTATTTTAAGGTTGAATCATGCTTATTTTTTAGAGGTTTTTTATTCTAATTTGATGAAAAAAGACATAGATCTTGTGAGTTTGTTTTGTGTTTTGTGTTTAAGAATGTTCCTCCTTTCTCAAATTAAACATTAACTATATTTTACTGAACGTTATTCTTCACCCTTCACCCAACGCTTTCCTACATTTCAAACGTCACCGTTTAACTGCTTAAAATTATTAAAGAAGTTTAAGTTATTATCTATGCTTATACTAAGAAAATTTCCCCTTTTTTATTAATTCATATTAAAAGTCAAGGCAACGTTGACTTAATTTAAGTTTTGGTTGACTTTAACTTAGGCTAGGTCTGATCAAAGTCATGAAAATTTATACTATAATCTTTGAAAGCCCAAAAAAAAAAAAAAAAAAAAAAAGGAGAAATAAGAAATTTATGTAGAACACTTTTTGTGGATTGTGATTGTTAAACTCTTTTAATTATATTGATTTAAGTGGATCGTTAGATTCCCGTGGTCTTTTGCTCTTTTTAATTGAAGAGGTTTTTCCACGTAAAAATTTTCTTGTGTTTCCTCATGAATTGAATATTATTTTCAATATAATTTGCTCAAGGTTTTGTTTCTCATAGATTTATTCAAGTGGTAAAGTATTGTGTTGTTGCATTATTTTCTTTTAGATTTTGATATTATATTATTTCTTTTGCTTAAGGTTTAGTAATTTTTTAAAATTTTTCACTAGTTGTTTGACAAACAATGACGGAGTCATGGAGGCCATACCTGAGCAAAAATCTTGGGTCTGCCATTACATGTAGCCTTATCCTTTTTTTTTTTTTTTTTAATGATCGGGGTGTCTGTGTTAGTTTGTGCCCACCTCAATCAATCTCCCAAGATCCTGAAATTACTGATTAAATAAGAGCTCTAGTGACTACCCTTATTAGCAACTGTGGGGACTCGAATTCTGGAGACCATGTTAGATCATTCTCTTACTCTTTTACCCTTAAGGAGATTCAAACTTGGAAAACTATGTTAGATCCTTCTCTTACTCTTTTACCATCAAAGATTTGAACTTGAGAGACTATGTTAGATCCTCCTTTACTCTTTTACTATCAGGCCATTCCAGTGATGGTTAGTACGAAGAATTTGCCGTCTAATCACATGTTACTTCACAAGCTTATGCGCTTAGCCTTTTTTTTTATTTTATTTTTTTCACATTTGGAAATTGAGAGTAGGATGTGGTGGTATGCCCGATCTAAAGTAGATTCATTTGCAGTTTAATTTCTTTAAATTAACATCACTGTTAATTTAATTAATGAATGATTTATAACAATACATGTGATTTCTCAACCACCAATATAATTATGCTAGTTATGTTATGTAGCAATTTTACTTTATTAGCTTTGCCTACCGTTGGTTTCCAGAGATCCTAGGTTTAGCTAAGTATCGCAATTTTTAATTTAATATGCACATTAGCTTGTAATTGTAAAATGTTCCTTCGATTGGGAATGGAAGAACCATGAGATCTACATTTGTTTTGTTGGATCTACATAAGCAATTAGGTGTGAATGGTGACCTGGGTCTAAGAAAAGAAATCCAGCAAGCTCTCTATTTTGGGGCTGATCCAATCCTAAATGGGCTCATGAAATTCAATAATAGAGTCCATCTCGTAAAACCTAAATCAACCCTGTCTGGATTCATTCAACACTGCATGACGGGCTAAGGAGCTTGTTCCTTGTTTGGACTCAATTAATAAATGGGTTCATCGGATTGGTTTACATCTCCATTCTGAACTTGGAAAACAAAAAAGAGGTCCTTATACATTGACAATTTTACAAACCAATAAAAATTGGTTTAAAAACCAATTTTAATAACTTTATCTCAAAATCTCGATGAGAAAAATCACAATTGGTTAGCTCACAATTTGACTGGCAAGACAAATAGCAAACAAACAAAAACTATTTAAAAAATGACCAATTAAGAAATGTCATGTAGGAATTATGAGAGAAAATTTATAAGATAAAATTGTAAGTGTACTATTACCCTTTTACAAACAGCTAAAGACGGTCAAATTATGTGCCATTGATTTGGTTTCGTAGCAGAAATTTAGTGATACTGACTGCATTTATTGGACGGCACATTGAACGGCAATCATTGGACTTGCATTTGGGCCCAATTGTCAACACATTGGCCCGACCGCGGTTGTATGTTAAACAGGCTTGGTGGGCCTAAAGGTATGATGATTGACAGGATGGGCCTATCAACCGTTCGTGAGGTGGTGATTCTCAACGGACGGTGTCTAGTCTAGGAGAGAACTCAACACGCATTCAGTACTCTACATTATGATGATTCATCCCGTACCAGAACTTATTAGAAGGGATAGCTCCAAGTACAAGGAGGAGTGCAGCAGGAAGCAGAAGGTTATTAACATTCCAATTAAGCACCTAAAATTAGTATCTTTATTTAATTGCTGGCATGTTACATTACATTGATAGCAACAGAAGAAACAAGTAATAA